CAAAATTTAATTTAATTAAATGAGCACTCATATATAATTAAAATTGCCCAAAAAAATAAAAATTCATTTCAATTTTATAAATCCCCAAATTAAAATCATGCATATATTATTAGTGTTAAAAATAAAAATTTTTTTATTTTTCTATACAAAGTAGTAAAAAAATATGTAATTTAATAATGATATTAAGTTTTTTAAGAAATAATAAAATTTAAATTATAGTATTAATTGTTGTAAATTAAAATTAGAATCTTGATCAATGTAAATTAAAATTATTATCTTAATTACATTTAACATAGAATTTAAACTTTAAAAACAAAATATTGCAAAAAAAAAAATTATATATATAATAATTTAACTTTTTTCAAAAGTTTAGGGGTAGCTTGTCAATAGCTAGAAAGAATTTCATTAGTCAATTAACGGAATGTTTGCCAAGTAGACTATTTTGAAACAAAATTGATAGTTTATAGATCATTTTGAAAGAAAAAATTGTTTCTAGACTAAACTAAAATAAACAATATAGTTAATAGACTATTTATTAAATTTAACTTTTTAGACTAAGATGAAAAAAGACACATAAAATAAAAACGTAATATTATATTTAGATATGATATGAAATAGGAAACAAAAAGAAAAATAATATTTGGAATTCACCATATTAATAAAAAGAAATTGAAGAAATGAAGAAGAGAGGCGTAGAAAAAAGTAAGGGTTTATATGTAGGTGGATAGAAAGATGGAAGGACATGGAGAAATACTATTTAGTATTTAATGCAATCTTTTATTTTTTTAATAAAATATATATTTCTCTTTTAAAATAAAAATATTTTATGTCTAATCAATGCATTCTAAGGGCCTTTCAAAAAAAAAAAAAATCAACGCATTATAAGGTAAAATGAAACTTCTCAATTGTACATGAAAAATAAGAAAACAAAAAGGTTAGAAAAAATTACAACTGCACAAATTATTATTATGTTATGCATTACAATCCTATATTTTTACTCTTTATAAATTTTAAGTATCTATTCATCTTACTTGATTTTATTGCATTACATTATATTATGTATATAATGAAAACTAATAATGATAAAATAATTGAGAATATAAAGATAAGAAATATAAGACAGAATATGAGAAGATAAAAAGGTTGAACTTATATTATTAAATAGATTTATTTATCCCATAAAAAAATAGATTTACTTACATTAATTATATAAAAAATAATAAATAAAAATATATTAATATTATTATATATTATATATGTATATACAAATGTATACCCTATTTAATGCATAGGGTAGAATTTTATATATATATATATATATAGATATAGATATATATATTGTTGAACATTATGTGAAATAAAGAATGAAGTTATAAGTTCCTTTCTCTTGTTGATGTTGCTTGCACAATTTCTCTAGTTTTTATTTTATTTACTTTCATATTATTTTCATAAAATAAAGTTGAAGTGTTAAATAAAGCGAATATAAATTTAAAGTATGTAAATACTAAATACCTATACAATTTATTAGAGAAGGAAAGAAGGGCTACAAAATTGCTGGCTAAGTTATTGGCAAAAAATTCACTTCTTCATTTATATGGTTAGCATTCAAATTCACATCTCCTTCTGCACTCCTCTCACCATGAGAATTTCAATCAACTAGCCCACCCTACAAGAGCAGATGAAAACCAAACAAACCAATAATCACGGCAATGGTTATGACCAAATTTGGAAGCAATAATGTAATACCCCAAAAATTTCAAGAACATTAAAGTTGAGTTAGGGACTTAATGGTAAGAAAACGTTATTAATGGACCTAATAGTCAAATTTCCAAATTTCAAAGGGGTCAAAAGATTTTGGGATAAGGCCGGCTGACCTTTCCTTTTTTTTCTTTTTTTTTTCTTCTTTTTTTATTCTTTCTCTCTTTCTTCCCCAGCCATTTTCGCGTGTCTGCTCTGTTTCTTTTTCTCCCTGCAGCCGGACATAAACCAGCCATCACCGCTGCCTCCACCTGAAAAAATTGGTAAGAGAACTTGATGATTTTTGTTCTCCTCTTGTTCAAGAACAAGTCTAGGACTTAGAAATCTTCTCCTTTGCAGAAAATTCTCCAGATCTGCTGTCTTCTTCCTCCCTTGCCGCCGGTTGCTGCTGGATGTGAGCTTCGGTTTTCCTGGTAAAAATCAGCCATGTAACTCCTCTTTTCAGCCTTGATGTATGTGGGTTCACTCTAATTTTCATTTCTTTCAATTGCTAGTGGTTCCCGTGGAAGCCCCCCAATTTTCCGCCAGCTCTTCCCCCCATACCCGCCAGCTCCAGCCTTGTTTGCTGAGGATTTCTAGTAGGCTGGCTTCTCTAATCTCCGAAAAATTGATTGATTAATTGCTGCTTTGTGAGTGTAATTGGTTGTAGGAATTGGCTTGGGTTGTCCGAAAATCTACTGGGAAGAGGGGATGAATTCCGGTAGCCTTGCTATGAGTTTTTAAGTTTAATTATGTAGGAAATCCTTTAATTGGGCTGCTGTGATGTTGTATGAAAGAAAAAGAGAAAAATTCCGGAACTTGCCCTTTTTTTTTTTTTTGTCCAAGCCGGTTCTCCCATTTCCTGTCCATGAATTTGGAAAAATTGTATATGTGTAACTATATATGTATATATAAATGCACAATCTAATGTTATGTGCTCAAATTTCATATAGGAGAAAAAGAAAAATAAATAAAGAAACAAAATTTCTTTATAGATATTCATTCGAAAGTATTGTGATTAGGTCATTGGTCGTCTTGTGATCCTAGCACTTGGGTTACGCCTTTTGTCTTGTGCAATTAAGGTAAGTAAATTATGGTAGCGCCTTTCGATTTCAAAGCATATTTTAACTTGTATTTGAGATGGTAGCGAGGTTTAAATGGATTTATTTGCATTTGAGCATGATTAAAAATGGAAATGGAACTTTTATTATTTTTCTTATTTTCTAGAATTGAGCATGCTCACGTGAGATTCTTTCGGTTTATTCTTGAAAGTGAGAACGATTGTGAATCGTGGTTTTTCTGTAAATCTTGCTTGGTTTTGTCTCCGATATGGTCGTGTTATTCGTGTGCCCGCTAGTGGGAGGTTTATAAACGCTAGCACATGTCGACGTGTTATTGATAGAACCGGTTCGCTTGTGTTATCCTACTAGTGGGATTATACACTAGTAATCGTGTGCCTGCCAGTGGGAGGTTTATAACACTGGTCATGACTAATAGAGGAGACCACTATTTAATTTTGTTCTGCATTAATGGTTTGTTATTGAGACGCTCTTTTTATGTTTAAACTGTTTATTTGGCATGCTTTAAATTTTGATCCCGGGCATCCATATTTACTTACTAAGATATTTTATCTCACAGTTTTCCTTATCCACCATTTCAGATAATGAGACCCGACGCATGGGGAGCCAGGGGGAGTGACGAGCTAGACGACTAGGCATTTTTTTGGACTTAGTTTTGTAGCTAGGTCGCTAATCACCCATGCTGACTTAGAAATTTTTGTGTATAGAACTCCTTTAGTTATAGTAATGACTATATAGATGAAGTTATAAATATTTGTACATTTAACAAGTAAATATTTAGAAAGACAAAGAAACTAGTTATTACCTGAGTTTTTAAATCTGAATTATCTGAATTAGTAATTATGAACTTAGTAAGTTTCGAGCCTTGTACATTGTGGGATCCATTCCCAAGTGCACGGCGTTTGTTTCGCTCTTGGTTTTAGGGCATGACAAATAATGTCACATAATTTTTTGTATATCATCCCTTAAAATATTGATATATAGATTAATTTAATTGTTAAAAGTAATTAATAATTATAATTATTATTTAATAAATAACAAAATGTACTATTGATATTTGTTACTTAATAAATTAAAATAAATCTATAAATTAATATTTTAAAATATTATGATTAACTATTAATTAAAAAATTATAATATATTTATGAACCTAATACGCTTAACTTTTAAGCGTGGGTATAACCCTGTCCTAATAATAATATGACCCCTTCTTGTCAGTTCACTCAGTTGTATGAGGGTGCAATGAGTCACACCCATGATTGGATGCTAATTTCAACGACGGACTGTTTGTTGGGTTGAAACCACCAGGCAAAACGTGAAGTGATAGTGTCGATTTGTTTAGATATAAAACTCTGTTAGGGGGTTAAAAGGATTAGAATCCGATACTCCGAGATAGAAGGAAAAGGATAACGAATGGTGGGTTTTTTTTTTTTATCATCCTTTTCCTTTTCTTCTGGCCGTCTCGTTAATGAATGGTTGAATAAGGTGAAAGATGTAGAATCATGGGGGATAAGAAAAGAGAGAAATCTTTACAACTTAGAGGCCGTTCTGGTGTGATTTCTTTGCTTCCTTTTTCACATAATATATGTTAGAAATAGAAAAGAAGAAGAAAGATTTAAAGAAAGATTTATTACTTTCTTATTTTCATTGTATATACAATAGTCCTATATATATATCTAGAATATTCCTAAGCATGAAACCAATTAACTTAAATGTATATAATCAATTACAATGTGAACATAATATTATAACATAAATGTTAATATTTTAAAATAAATGCTAATATTCTAATATCCCTGCAAACTCAAGGTGGCAAGGTGGGGGTGAAGGAACCAACTTAAATTTGGAAATAAGAGTTTGGAAGCATTTGGGGAAGTGAGCCTTAGTGAACAAATTTGTAGGCTAATTAGTAGAACTAATGAAAATCAAACAAATAGTTCCCTTTGCAACATGATGACAATGACAATCAACCTATATATGTTTTGTGCGTTCATAGAAGACATCATCGTGAGCAATTTGTATAGCACTTTAATTATCACAATATAAATCAATAGAAAAAGGTAGAGGAATACCCATATCTTCAAGAAACCACCGTGATGAAAGAAGTTCTAATGTGGTATCATTGAGAGCTCTATACTCAACTTCAGTACTAGAGCAAGATGAATAGTTTGTTACTCTACCAAGAAATAAGAGAATTACCAAGGAAAAGACAATAACTAGTAGTAAATCTATGATTAAAATGATCACTAGCCTAATTGGCATTAGAGTAAGCACGAAGCACAAGAGAGGAGTTAACAGAAAAATGAAGACCATGAAACAATGTTCCTTAAACATAGGAAATAGTGTGAAGTACTAACTGCGTAATGACTAGAGCAAGGAGCAATCATAAACTGCATATGCTATGTTAGGACATGTTGTGGTAAAATAAACCAAACTACCAACCAATTGCTGATAGTGAGTTGGATCAGAAAGTGGAGAGCCATCCTGTCACGCCCCAAAACCCAAATCCGGGGACGTGGCAGACGCCGTACACTTGTGAGATGGGTCCCACAAGTGCACAAGGCTCAGAACTTATTCAAATCACAATCTGATACCACAAAATCTCAAGATAAATCTTTACAGTCTGCTCTGATACCAAAAATCTCCACATACACTCTAACTCTTAAGATCACGATCTACATCTCAAATCTATATTCACTTTACAAGATGGCTAGCCTTCTAATTCGTCACTCCCCTTGCTTTTCCCCGTCCTCGGTTTCACTTCTTGAAATGGTGGACAAGGAAAACGAGGTGAGATAAAATATCTCAGTAAGTAAAATATGGATAGCCCGTGAGTAAAATGTTAGCATGCCAGATAAACAGTTCAAAATAACAAACGCTCAATAACAAAAATCGGATTCAGTTCAACAACAAAACGTTTCCTGACAAACCGCTAATGTAGAAGAAAACTCAGTTCAGTAGTCTCATCTATAAGTCATGGCCAGTGTTATAACAACCCACTGGCAGGCGACAGAACAAACCGGTCATATCAGTAAACATGTCGACATGTGCTAGCGTTACACCCACTAGCGGGGATCAGGAGTGCTAGCGTTACACCCACTAGCGGGGATCAGGGATGCTACACACCCACTAGCGGGGATCGGAAATCATGACTATATCCGAGACAAAACCATGTAGGATTACAGAACTTCTGAAATTCACAATCAATCTCAACTCATCAAAGCAGGATCATTAATAACATAACCACATCGGAGACAAGACAAGCAGAAATTTACAGAAAAATCTTAATTCACCAATCGCTTTCAAATCATCAGGACAATCACTTAAATTTCAAGTAGGCATGCTCAAATCAATACAAAAGACTAATAATCTTATTTCAAGTCAATCATGCTCATTTCCAGAAAAACCATGAAATTCTCATTAAAATCATCAAAACTTCCATTTCAGTTTAATCACACTCAGGTGCTGGTAAAATCAATTTAAAATCAATTACAACCTTGCCACCATCTCAAAACAATTAAAACATGCTTTGAAATCGAAGGGCTTTACCATGATTTACTTACCTCACTCGCATAAAACCGAGCACTCAATCTCAGTGCTAACTGACAGAATGATCGGGAACCTAATCAAAACACCTCAGAATTAATACCGGACTATCACAAATTCACACTGAAATCATCATTAGGATCATTCCTAATCACAAGGCTATTTCCATATCAATCTCCCCATAACCGGACATCTCCACATTTATTCTTATATCACAAACTAAACCTTTAAATCTCCGCTAATCGTTACCCCTCGATGTGTGAACAGTGCCCGTGAACAGTACACGTGAACAATAACTGATATTTCCATCATTTACAGCAAACTAAAATACCAGAAAAAGGGATATTTCACCAGATTTTCAGAGCAGAACAGACTGAAAAAGAAAGGGAAAAACAGTAGCAAAATGCAGAAAAACGCAGCAGCAATTTGCAGAATTTTCTGCGTGAACAGTAGCTGCGCGTGAACAGTAACATTTTGGCAAAACAGCAGGATTTCCCACACAGAACAGCAGCTAATTTCAAGCCAAAAACAAGTTTATTTCTACATGAATCAAGCTAAAAAAAACACGTTTAAAATGCTGCCAAATTCTTCCATATTTCGGCAGAAATTTGAACAATACAGGGGCAGCAATTACATGGATAATTTCAGCAATTAAATGGGTAAAATTGGACTTAAAGGAAGCTGTCCATCATACCCGAATTTTCCAGCAAGAACCGGAGCAAGCAGGGGAAGAAGAAGCCGGCGGCAAGCTGCAGGGAACTCACGGACTACCCAAAAATTGAGGGAAATAAACAGAAATTAGCATAACCCAGCCTAAATCAAGGTTAAAGAGATGATTTCTTGGCTGTGGCTTACCCGAAAAATGCCCAGAAATTCAAACCCACATAGCAGCCGGCGGACAGGGGAGAAGAGCAGAACAGATCCGCGATTTTCTGGGTTGACAGGGAAGATTCTAAGCCTCAAATCTTGTGATTTAACAAGAAAGGAAGAGAATTCATCAAGATCCCACCGGGTTTCTCAAGGGGGAAGAAAGTCGGTGGCTTGGGGGGGCTTGTCGGGTGCAGGGGAGAAGAAAGAAGAGCAGATGTGCGAATAAGGAAGAAGAAAAAGAAAGAACAACTCAGCCATCCTTATCCTAATTTCCTTTCTTTTTAAGCCCCTCAAGTTTGGACATTTTGATCATTAAGCCCCTCCATAATATTTTCCCTCAGATAAATCCCTTATTTAATGCTAAAATATCCCCAAATTTTGGGGTATTACACATCCATAGGTGTAAGCTTAACATTGAGTTCAAGAGGTGTAGAAACACTCTTGCTGTCATTAAGTTCAGCTTTAGAAACAAGATAGGAGGCATAGTTTACTTCAGAGAAAAGGTAGCCATCATATGAAGAAGTGACTTTAAACCCAAAAAATAGTGCAGAACATCAAGATCTTTCAATATCTTTCATCTCAAATTTCTGACTGAGTGATCATTTTAGCCCATCAACACCTATGATATCATCTCCCAATAATAGTCATGTCATCAACATAAAGAAGTAAAACAACCATACCCGAGTGGTCTTATGAATGAACAAAGCCATATCATGTGGGCTGGAAGTAAAACCAAACTCACTATTCACAATAACACTGAACTTTGCATACTAGGCTCGAGGGAATTGCTTCAAACCATATAATGCACGTTTCAATTGGCATACCTTGTTTGAAGGATGATTGAGTCTAAGAGGTGGTTTCACATAAAGTTATTCTTCTAGATCACCATTAAGAAAAGCATTTTTCACATCCATTTGAAACAATTTCCATCTCCATATAACAACAATAACAAGCAAATTGTTCATAGATGTGAGACAAGCAACTGGAGAAAATGTTTCCTCATAGTCTATTCCATGCTCCTATGTAAAAACCCTCAGCAACCAAGCATTCCTTATAATGCTCCACAAAACCATTAGATCGCATTTTGATATTGTACACTCATTTACAACCCATTAGAGACTTTTTAGTAAGGAGATCAACTAAATCCCATGTATGTATGTTCTCAAGAGCCTGTAATTCATCTTCCATATCTTGTTTCCAAAATGGGTTAGAAAAGGCCTCTCAATAAGATTAAGGCTCGTGTAAAGAAGTAATAGTAGGAAAACAATAATAATCACAAAGGTAGTTGGGAGGATTTCTTACTTGAGTAGGATGACTCGAGGATGGGATAACAAACTCATTTACATACTCAACAATATCAGATGCACCATCAATAGGTGATATAGATGAAAAAGTAAAAGAAGGCTCAAAATTATCTAATGCATTACTAGTAGGCAAATCATCTTCTACAGAACTAGTTGAAGCATGTGGTGAGGCATTGTAAAGCTCATCAAATGTACTTGCATTAGAATCACTAAGAAATAGTTTAACAAAAAGATTAGTGAAAAAATGGAGGTTGATGAAAGGATGACACTTTGAAGTTTGAGAACAATGAGAACAATGATATCTTTTTTGTGTAATCCCATAACCCGAAAAACAATATAATCGAACTCTAGGCTCTAACTTGGTATGTTCATGAGGTGGAAGAAGAACAAAATATGCACAACCAAAAACCTTAAAAAGATCATAAGTAGGAAAAAGACCATGCAAATGCTCGTATGGAGACTAGTTATTGAGGATTGATGATGGAATGCGATTTATGAGATAAATAATTGTAAGAGCAGCTTCACCCTAAAATTGCTTTAGATAAGGAGACGAAATGAGTAGAGCATGAATAGAATCAAGGATGTGTCTATGTTTGCATTCAGCTTGCCCATTCTGTTAAAAAGTGTAAGCACAATATTGTTATGTCAATGCACCTTGTTCTTTAAGAAAGGATTGAAGTATAGTACCAAGATATTTAGTAGCATTGTCAGTTCTCAAAACTTTGATAATTTTAGAGAAATGGGTTTTGACCATGGTAGCAAAATCAATATAAAGTTATGACAATTCAGAGTGATTTTTCATAAGATATATCTAGGTAAAATGAGTATAATCATCAATAAATAACACAAAATACCTTGAAACTCTATGGTGGATGCAGGAATTGGACCCCAAACATCAAAATGCATAAGATCAAAAAGAGCAGTAGAAAGAGAATGACTACTTAAAAATGGCAAAACTAGTTGCTTTGTAGATTGACATGGTACCCAATACAAGGATTCATTTAGAATAGATCGTAATAAACCACAAGAAATAAGAGAGGAAGTTTATCGACCGAGATATATTTTGGCCGTAAGTGCCACAAATGGAGAGAAGAAATGTTAGTAGCAGCATAAGCTTTCAAAATTTGTTAGTACAAAATTTGTAAAGACTTTAACTCAACAACACTAAGCAAGGTTTGGATAAAGGGATCATTTGGAAATGATAGTGTATCCATTTTATGATGTGGAATATGCAAATAATTGAGTTCAAACATACACCCCACCTTGTGATTAGTTCCAAGAAGTTGTCTTGTCTATAGGTTTTGCACATGACAACCATGAGTCGAAAATGTTACTTCGAGGCCAAGATCACATAATTGACTAATAAATAGAAGATTATAACTAAGTTTTGGAACCAAGAAAGCATTTGGTAAAGTCAATGATTTTGTAGAAATATTGCCAATGTAATTAACATTCATAGGAGAACCATTAGTAGAATAAATGTCAAGAAAGGAATTATTTGGTGACATTGAAGAGAAATGAGCAATAGTTAAAGACATATGGTTACAACAACTAGACTCAAAATACAAGGTTTGGTACCTGGAGCAACGGATAAAGCAATAAGAGCATTAAAAAGATTTAATATTACTTGTTTGAGGGATTCAAGGTTGATATTAGGTTAGTTTATCACTTCTTTGGCAACCATGCAGTAGCAAGATGAGTTACAATCTTTTTAAAACTCGCTATAGAATTAGTAAAATTCACAATACTAAAAAAAAATCTTTAAAAATATGAAGAAATAAATGCCGAGATCAAAATAACAACTCAACAACATACCTCAAAAAGGCTTGAAAATTTAGAATAAGTAATCCAATCTACAGGAGAAGAGATCTTAATGACAGAGTTTCAGATTCAAAATGGATTCGAAAATCAAACTTAAAAAACAAAACATCAATGATAAAATAGAAGAACTAGGAGTTTATAACTTTGATACCATGTTAGAAATAGAAAAAAAAAAGAAATATTTAAAAAAAGGTTTATTGCTTTCTTATTTTCATTGTATATATAAAGGTCCTGTTTATAGATCTATATAATAGACTATAATTCAATTAACTTGAATGTATATAATCAATTACAATGTCAACATAATATTCTAACATAAATGCTAATATTTTAAAATAAATACTAATATTCTAACAATATCGATTTTTTTATTTAAAATTTATTTTAAAAAATGCCTAATCTTTTTTCTATATTTTAAAAAAGATAAATATTTTTTTCTATTTCAACTTGATTATTATTTCTTGATTTTAATTACTCATTTTATCATAAAAAAGTCTCTTTATTTTTAATTTTTTAAATGATAATATTAGTAAAAATATAAATTATCTTTAAATCCTTAATATAAAAATAAAATCTAAAAACTTCTACTTATTATTCTATGATTGAGAGTATTATTTAGGGCTATTTTGGTAATTGAAAAGTTATTTTTTTCTTAAATTTAACTAATGTTACTTTATTATTTTGGCAATAAACTTTTTCAAGTTGGCTTGTAGAAAAAAAAATGTAGGAATATCTATAAAAAGACTTAAATATTATTTATAAATCAACAAGCATTAAAGATTTTTTAAGTATATTTAAATAATTTCACAAGTATTACTGCATTTTTTCTTATATATCAACTCAAAAAACACGTGTCTATATTATTTTAATTTTGAAAAATTCATTTTCTACTCCCTTAATTTTGAAAAGTAAAGAAAAAACCTATTATTAATTAAATACAAAGGATACTCATACCCATATACAAATAAGAGTTTCTTTTATATTTAGTGTATTCCCCCCAATACGTAGGCAGTAGCAATCCACTACTAACCCTTTTCTTGTTTCAAAATAATTGTCAATTTTTAACTTTAAATTTTTTTCAAATTAATTATCATTTTTTCATTTTTTAAAGTAGAGAAATATTTTTTTTCCTACATTAAACCTATCATTATTTATTTACTTTAATTAATTATATTATTACAAATATCTATTTACTTTGATTAATTATCTTATTACAAAAAATCTAACTTTATATTTTAGCTTTTTCTACGGGGTAATATTAAGAAATACATAAATTGTTTAAATCTTTAATTTCGAGGAAAAAAAAAAGAACAATTATTTTGGAACAGAAGGTATTAAAATGATAAGAAGAGTGAAAATCGAGATATTTTATAATATTTTAAATGTCAAAACTTCTTGTAAAATTATTTAAATATCTCTAATAGATCTTCCTTGCATGTTAGTTCCTTAAATATATTTCTATCTTTTCATTATCATTCCTAATATTCTTGTCATGCCCCAGAACCCGAATCCGAGAACGTGGTAGATGCTGTGCACTTGTGAACGGGTCCTACGAATGTATAAGGCTCGGAACTTATCCAATTCATGTCTGACAATCCAATAACTTAGATCGGATATTTCAAAATTAATTCTATGTCCAACATGACTTAAACTCAAAATCTTAAGATCAAATCTTTTGTAAACTAACAATCCATTAAATGAATGTATAAAATCTCCAATTAAACTTTAGTTTACAAGATCATTGTTATACCCCAAAATTTCTAGAGCATTAAGTGACAGTTAGGGACCTAATTGTGAAGAAATACTATTAATGAACTTAATAGCAAATATTTTCAAAGTTCAAGGACTAAAAAGAAAGGAAATTAGGATAAGGATCAAGGCTGATATTTTTATCCTCAGCCACGTGTTTGGCTCTTCATCTTCATTTTTCCTCTTCTCTTCTCCCCCGACAAGCCCCTCCCAAGCCACCGACTTTCTCCCTCTTGAAAACCCGGTGAGATCTTGATGAAATTTCTCTTCTTTTCTTGTTAAATCACAAGATTTGGGGCTTAGAATCTTCCC